TCCTGGTGCCTCAGGATTATAACTCTGAGTGGTCAGCCCTGAGTGCTTTTAATGACTTAGCCAGGACGTCCTCTTTCATAGGAGCGTGAACTGCTCGATAAAAACCCAGCCACGTACAGCCGCGTGCTGTAGGTTCAGTGATCTTTTCTTCACTTCTGCTTGCTCTGGTTGGAGGGCACAGCCGTGTTGGCCTTAAAAAGTGAGACACTTTGATTGGTGTGGTGTGGTGGTGGCTAGTTACCACCTGGTGTCTGCTCTGGCAGGCGTGCCTTTTAAAAAGCCACTTCCTGTCCCTTCACTGCGTGTGCCTGTCCCAGACTCAGCGACAGGGGTGGCCAGGCCTCCTGCTCTCTGCTGTTCCCATTGTCTGTTTTGCCCACTCCCCCCCCCCGCCGTGTCTTTCGCTGCTCCTTCCTTCTGTATCTGATGTGAGGTCTCAGGTCACGTTCCAAGGAACAGCCTTGGGGGTGGGCATCCCCCAGGGTGTCTGCTCTGTTTGGTTGGGTTTGGGGGCAGCAAAGGACAGGCTAGCGCAGGGACAGCCATCGCCCAGCTGCCCTGGAGTGTTGGTCTGAAAGCATCTACCGAGGGCGAGGCTGGCGTGGGGCTGCCTCCCCCCAGGCCCCCCCCCCAAAGTCGCCTCCTGCCCGGAGCCCCCCTCCGCCCAGCAGCGCCCCCCAGCGGCTGCAGGCGGCCAGGTGAGGGAGGAGAGCCGCAGACGGGGGCAGACAGCAGCCCTGATGGGCTCCCCTGGGCCTTCACGGCTGGACTCAGCGACCCTTGTTCTGTTCCTCCTCACCAGACGCCGGAGCCGGAGGTGGCACCGCCCGTGGTCCCCGAGCCCAAGCAGGGCCTGTACGAGCTCTCGGCCGGCAGCTTCGCGCAGCACGTGGCGCAAGGTAGGTGGCGCATCTTGGGGGCGTTCAGGGCGGTGCCGCATCTCGGCACCGCCGTCCTTTCCTTCTCCTGGGTCGGCTGGGAGCCCCTTCTCGCCTCCTGAGGGCTCACAGGTAGCAGCGTCGGTGCTGCTTGTAAAGGGTTAACTCGCGAAGCCCCGGTCATGTCAGAGCATGATGCTCATCCTCTGGGAAATCCTCTCTCCTTTGACCTCAGTCCTGATGGAAACGCCAGCTTTAACCATAAGCGAAGGCCCTGGGAGTGGACGACTCCCCCAGCGTGAGTGGTACACGTAACTTGTACCCTGGCTGGCCAGCGCATCCTTGGATAAGAAGTGTTTATTCATGTCAGTGTTAATTAACCACGTGCTCACTGACCTGAGGCAGAAACGGAGGTCTCTCTTACCCATTTCAACCAGAATTTAGTGGGACCCTGATAGCCCGTGCATCAGAATAGGTGTTCCTTACACATAAAATATTTCTTGATACTGCATCTCGTTATTTGGAAATAGTCTTCTCAATATCAAAATGATCTGTGTACAATTTCTAATGTTAATAATATATAAGTCCTTTCCGCACACGCTGAGAAGCGTTGACTCAGCAGTGAATGTGAACTCAGCTTCCTTGCTGACCTCCATTCTCAAATGCTGCCATGGAGAGAAATCCTCCCCTAAGACGGGGTCGGAAATGCGATTAAAAAGGCTTAAAATGGTATCTGGCCTTGTAACTTCATGCCTGCTGGGAGCTGAAACCCACCCCACTCAAGGTCTAAAATCATTTGATGTGACGCCTTCAACTGTTTTCTGTTTTTAATTAAAGGCTGTTATTTAATTGGTACCGATGTGCTGGCAGTGGACCTGCAGGGTTTCTACCCAACAGGGATCCACTTTAACCTGAGATGGGCCTGGGCTCCCTGCAGGATGCACTGCCAGAACCACCCACTGTGGACCGTTTCCTGGAAGCCCCGCCCAGTCCCTCCCTAAGCAAGTCACCAGAGGGGCCTGCTGCACCAGGGTCTCTCCCCTGCCCCACGGCTCCCCCTCGGGACTCCCGGAGGCCTGGACCTCCCGTCTCCAGCTCACAGCACACAGTAGCGACATACCTGTCTGGAGAGATCCTTTCAGCCTTGCCAATCAGCTGCTAATATTTCGAAGTGAATTTTTCACCATTTTTCTCAAATGTGCCATTGCCGCGGTGACAGGATGCCGCCATGAACGCTGCCACGGCCAAGTCTGACTCTGAGCCTCAGTCCCGAGTCAGCATCCGTGGGTTAGTCCTCTCCCCGGCCACAGCCTGCCTGCGGTCTGATCTCAGCCTGACACCTCTTTGGCCCCAGGCTGGTCCAGGTGGAACAGCCTAGACAAGTCTCCAGCGTCTAAATCACCGTGTCATGAGGTGTGGGTTTTTCCTAGCCAAGGGAGTGACACTCAGGTTTTGAAACCTTCTGTTTTATTGTGAAATAAAACACAGATACAGAAAACAAACGTAGGGGGTAGTGCGTTGTTATGAAGCGCTCACCCTGTAACCACTGTCCAGCCCAAGAAATTGAACTGCCAGCTCCCCGTGCCTGTCCCAGGCCCAGCCCAGGTCCAGCCCTGCCCCCACGGCCCCCCGGGGGGCTGCCCTGACTTTAGGGAAACCACCCCTGGCCTTCCTTTATGGTTTCCTCACCCAGGTGTGTTTTTCAGCACAGTAGTTTAGTTTGGTCTTTTTTTTTTTTAATGTATCTCTTTTAAGTCTCTCTTAACCCACGTCTCCCAGCGTCCTTTTCTTCCTTGCCCTCTGTCCGCTGAGCACATAGACTGTCCGACCTGGACAGTTCCCCACAGCGGGGACCTGGCCGACTGCATTCCCACGGGGTGGCGTAGTGTCCCTGCCCACGGCTCCCT